ACTTAGAAAGGGCCTCTTTGGGGCCCTCTATGGGCCCCTTCCTTTGGATTCCCCGGTAGGTTTCTTCAGCCAGATTGAAGAGAGGGCCCAGGAGAGTGTCTGTGCAAATTTTGAAGAAAATCGTAGGGGCCGCCCCATTGGGCCCCAAATTTCAATTGGGTCCGGTGGGCCCCAGGTGGGCCCCATCGAAAAATGTTACTTGGGTTTTTTGTTTGGGAAATTACGCTCTTTCCAATGATGTGCATATTGCCGGGGTTGGTTGCGAAATTAGGGGCAATACTTAGAAAGGGCCTCTTTGGGGCCCTCTTTGGGCCCCTTCCTTTGGATTCCCCGGTAGGTTTCTTCAGCCAGATTGAAGAGGGGGCCCAGGAGAGTGTCTGTGCAAATTTTGAAGAAAATCGTAGGGGCCGCCCCATTGGGCCCCAAATTTCAATTGGGTCCCGTGGGCCCCAGGTGGGCCCCATCGAAAAATGTTACTTGGGTTTTTTGTTTGGGAAATTACGCTCTTTCCAATGATGTGCATATTGCCGGGGTTGGTCGCGAAATTAGGGGCAATACTTAGAAAGGGCCTCTTTGGGGCCCTCTTTGGGCCCCTTCCTTTGGATTCCCCGGTAGGTTTCTTCAGCCAGATTGAAGAGGGGGCCCAGGAGAGTGTCTGTGCAAATTTTGAAGAAAATCGTAGGGGCCGCCCCATTGGGCCCCAAATTTCAATTGGGTCCCGTGGGCCCCAGGTGGGCCCCATCGAAAAATGTTACTTGGGTTTTTTGTTTGGGAAATTACGCTCTTTCCAATGATGTGCATATTGCCGGGGTTGGTCGCGAAATTAGGGGCAATACTTAGAAAGGGCCTCTTTGGGGCCCTCTTTGGGCCCCTTCCTTTGGATTCCCCGGTAGGTTTCTTCAGCCAGATTGAAGAGGGGGCCCAGGAGAGTGTCTGTGCAAATTTTGAAGAAAATCGTAGGGGCCGCCCCATTGGGCCCCAAATTTCAATTGGGTCCCGTGGGCCCCAGGTGGGCCCCATCGAAAAATGTTACCTGGGTTTTTTGTTTGGGAAATTACGCTCTTTCCAATGATGTGCATATTCCCGGGGTTGGTCGCGAAATTAGGGGCAATACTTAGAAAGGGCCTCTTTGGGGCCCTCTTTGGGCCCCTTCCTTTGGATTCCCCGGTAGGTCTCTTCAGCCAGATTGAAGAGGGGGCCCAGGAGAGTGTCTGTGCAAATTTTGAAGAAAATCGTAGGGGCCGCCCCATTGGGCCCCAAATTTCAATTGGGTCCCGTGGGCCCCAGGTGGGCCCCATCGAAAAATGTTACTTGGGTTTTTTGTTTGAGAAATTACGCTCTTTCCAATGATGTGCATATTGCCGGGGTTGGTCGCGAAATTAGGGGCAATACTTAGAAAGGGCCTCTTTGGGGCCCTCTTTTGGCCCCTTCCTTTGGGTTCCCCGGTAGGTTTCTTCAGCCAGATTGAAGAGGGGGCCCAGGAGAGTGTTTGTGCAAATTTTGAAGAAAATCGTAGGGGCCGCCCCATTGGGCCCCAAATTTCAATTGGGTCCCGTGGGCCCCAGGTAGGCCCCATCGAAAAATGTTACTTGGGTTTTTTGTTTGGGAAATTACGCTTTTTCCAATGATGTGCATATTGCCGGGGTTGGTCGCAAAATTAGGGGCAATACTTAGAAAGGGCCTCTTTGGGGCCCTCTTTGGGCCCCTTCCTTTGGATTCCCCGGTAGGTTTCTTCAGCCAGATTGAAGAGGGGGCCCAGGAGAGTGTCTGTGCAAATTTTGAAGAAAATCGTAGGGGCCGCCCCATTGGGCCCCAAATTTCAATTGGGTCCCGTGGGCCCCAGGTGGGCCCCATCGAAAAATGTTACTTGGGTTTTTTGTTTGGGAAATTACGCTCTTTCCAATGATGTGCATATTGCCGGGGTTGGTCGCGAAATTAGGGGCAATACTTAGAAAGGGCCTCTTTGGGGCCCTCTTTGGGCCCCTTCCTTTGGATTCCCCGGTAGGTTTCTTCAGCCAGATTGAAGAGGGGGCCCAGGAGAGTGTCTGTGCAAATTTTGAAGAAAATCGTAGGGGCCGCCCCATTGGGCCCCAAATTTCAATTGGGTCCCGTGGGCCCCAGGTGGGCCCCATCGAAAAATATTACTTGGGTTTTTTGTTTGGGAAATTACGCTCTTTCCAATGATGTGCATATTGCCGGGGTTGGTCGCGAAATTAGGGGCAATACTTAGAAAGGGCCTCTTTGGGGCCCTCTTTGGGCCCCTTCCTTTGGATTCCCCGGTAGGTTTCTTCAGCCAGATTGAAGAGGGGGCCCAGGAGAGTGTCTGTGCAAATTTTGAAGAAAATCGTAGGGGCCGCCCCATTGGGCCCCAAATTTCAATTGGGTCCCGTGGGCCCCAGGTGGGCCCCATCGAAAAATGTTACTTGGGTTTTTTGTTTGGGAAATTACGCTCTTTCCAATGATGTGCATATTGCCGGGGTTGGTCGCGAAATTAGGGGCAATACTTAGAAAGGGCCTCTTTGGGGCCCTCTTTGGGCCCCTTCCTTTGGATTCCCCGGTAGGTTTCTTCAGCCAGATTGAAGAGGGGGCCCAGGAGAGTGTCTGTGCAAATTTTGAAGAAAATCGTAGGGGCCGCCCCATTGGGCCCCAAATTTCAATTGGGTCCCGTGGGCCCCAGGTGGGCCCCATCGAAAAATGTTACTTGGGTTTTTTGTTTGGGAAATTACGCTCTTTCCAATGATGTGCATATTGCCGGGGTTGATCGCAAAGTTAGGGGCAATACTTAGAAAGGGCCTCTTTGGGGCCCTCTTTGGGCCCCTTCCTTTGGATTCCCCGGTAGGTTTCTTCAGCCAGATTGAAGAGGGGGCCCAGGAGAGTGTCTGTGCAAATTTTGAAGAAAATCGTAGGGGCCGCCCCATTGGGCCCCAAATTTCAATTGGGTCCCGTGGGCCCCAGGTGGGCCCCATCGAAAAATGTTACTTGGGTTTTTTGTTTGGGAAATTACGCTCTTTCCAATGATGTGCATATTGCCGGGGTTGGTCGCGAAATTAGGGGCAATACTTAGAAAGGGCCTCTTTGGGGCCCTCTTTGGGCCCCTTCCTTTGGATTCCCCGGTAGGTCTCTTCAGCCAGATTGAAGAGGGGGCCCAGGAGAGTGTCTGTGCAAATTTTGAAGAAAATCGTAGGGGCCGCCCCATTGGGCCCCAAATTTCAATTGGGTCCCGTGGGCCCCAGGTGGGCCCCATCGAAAAATGTTACTTGGGTTTTTTGTTTGGGAAATTACGCTCTTTCCAATGATGTGCATATTGCCGGGGTTGGTCGCGAAATTAGGGGCAATACTTAGAAAGGGCCTCTTTGGGGCCCTCTTTGGGCCCCTTCCTTTGGATTCCCCGGTAGGTCTCTTCAGCCAGATTGAAGAGGGGGCCCAGGAGAGTGTCTGTGCAAATTTTGAAGAAAATCGTAGGGGCCGCCCCATTGGGCCCCAAATTTCAATTGGGTCCCGTGGGCCCCAGGTGGGCCCCATCGAAAAATGTTACTTGGGTTTTTTGTTTGGGAAATTACGCTCTTTCCAATGATGTGCATATTGCTGGATTTTGTCGATGTTATAGGCCTGAAATTGTTGAAAACGTTTATTTATGCCCCGAGGGCATACTCCCGGGCCCATATATTTGAAGCTGTTTTGTTCGGTTCAGGGGGGCGCTAGCCCCCTTAATTTGGTACCGTTGCATGTAAAATTTTGTCCTCTTTCGAATGACGTGCATTTTTAGCTGTTTTGACGGCTAGAAGTAGGGTTTTCAAAGTTCGTCGATTGTGCCCTGAGGGCATACTGTTTTTTGGGATTTGTGGCCCCCCTGATGGATTCCCCGCATTTTGGCACTAGGATTTTCGATAGAGGACACCATTCTGCACCTCTCCACCAAAATTCAGCGAAATCGTAGGGGCCGTCGATCCCTGCTGAATCCCTGCTGAACCCCTGCTGAATCCCTGCTAACTTCCGTTACATGTATTTGGAACGGATCGCTCATGTAACCGAAACGTCCGAGGCACACGATTCGGGCCGTATTTCACAAGAACTATTCTTTGCTGACTGGAAGCGTCAAAATGCAAAATACTAAGCATTTTTTTTATTGGCTGCCTCGTAGAAAATAGCAAAAAAAATGTTGGTATTTTGGTTTAGTCTTTGGATGTGAAATAAAATGAATGAAATATTTTGATACATAATTTTTTCTGACCACCCTGCTGTCGCTGCATGGCGAATCAGTGCCCACTGACTTAAAGGAAATAGTTCACTTTCACGAAATTATTTTTTTTTGCAACGATTTATGATTTTTTATGTTCAAAATAATCAGCAAAGAAAATAAAACCTTTTTATAACAAAAGATTTTTTTTCTATATTTTGATATAGGAAGAACTTTTCAGTTTCTGTAAGGCACAGGCGATCCAGTATGAAAAGAGCATGGGTCCCGAAAATTCTTCAGAAACAGAGAAATTATCGCAGCCACCGGCATTTGGGCGATCTGCTCGATCTGAAAATGTTCCCCTGAATGTCCTAATTGATCAGTACGAGAATTTCTCTAGAGTTCTCGTAGATAATTTCTCTAGTTTCTGAATAATTTTCGGGACCCATGCTCTTTTCATACTGGATGGAAATATATGCAAGGCACACATCCTCAACGCAAGACACCTTTTTCGGGACGAGAAATAGAATATCTTTGCCTAGGGTGATCATTGGGCTGTAAAATCTCCTGATTTATGCTCGTCTCAGCCTAAGCTACAGAACTGCTATTCCAGTTCAAAACCCATGTTAAAAAGTGAACTATTTCCTTTAAAACAAGAAAACTTTGTTTTCATTTTTTGATTTCATGTTAATTTTAAATGTTTTTGAGACTATCAAATGATATAACTATTTAAAATTTAGTTCAGTCGTCCCGGTAAATGCCGCAACTGCGCCATGACTGTACGCTAATCCTATTCCGTTTGTGATACGAATTACCGGCCGTCGAGGAGTCAGCCCGGGTGAGCCAAACAAGATCCGTTTGACGTAGATAAAACGAATTAGTCTCATGTAACCGGTGCCGTAGATACGTTCGTGGGGAGCTGATGCGCATTAGCGTAGTGCGTATTTGGAACGGATCGCTCATGTAACCCCGGTATATAATGGGGTCTGTTATTTGATTTGATTTTGTTAGGTGAAGATGGAGATGGCCTTGGAAATATGCGGAAGGCACTGTGACTATAAATAATGGAAGGTAGGTGTTGGTTATACTTTTCCTGAGATTTTGCCTGTGCGAGCACCAGGCTGGGTGAATTTGTGTTTTAGATCCTTTGACCTTTTCTGAATTATGTGGTTCAGTTGAGATTCAAATCAAAATAGGTAAAAGGTAACTAGGCAAAGGCCAAAGGTAGTTGATGTTTTGATTGATTTGTCTTGTAGTTGTGGTAATTATCCTACCAAGTATGTAGTCTGCTCTACCCCCAACGACCAGTTGACGAAGCATGGCAATTTCGACGAGATGTTGTCATCGTGGGGTTGTTCAGCTGGTGTGGGTTTGGTGCATTGCGGATTTGGCTTGGTGCAGCGCAGATTTAGTGTATCGTGGTGCGAGTTTGGCCTGGGTGGTGTTTCACCGGTGATAGTGATAGCAGCACGCTGCTATTAGGTACATGTGTCAAATTAGGTTTCCATGGAGACATCAACAAGCCCCATTCACATTGCTCCAACACAACCACAAGTGTGACGTCAGCAGAATAGCAGCGTGCTGCTATCACCGGTGAAACACCACCCTGGTGACGGACTTGACGGGGTGTCAATAAGGCTGGAGTCACCTTCAGCGCTAGCCAGTAAATGTGTAGATAAAAGGAAGCTGAAATTTAAAAACAATCTAACCTTACCTAACCTTACCTATTGGCTATTAACATACTAACCTATACCCTACACCCTACCAACTGACGGTGATGCCAGCTTTACCATAAACCGTAGGTTGTAGTTAAGTAGGTAAGGTTAGGTCAGGTTAGATAATGGTTTCTTCTCTTAGACTAGGTAGGTATTTGATTAGATTTAAAAGCAAATTTTGTGTAAATGTCTCAAGAACTGGAGAGTCTAGCGACTTCACAAATGGGTGGCATCATGTGAGATGCCTGCTATATGAATACCAGAAATCCTTCTCTATGCCTCAACCCCCTGTTCTGGGCTGGGCAGACACTTTCATCCCATGTGGGAAGCTCCCCTAGGAGCATACACGGAGCCAGGTGCAGTGTCAGGGGCTGGGTGCCCTGTCCACTGGATTGGCTCAGCCCCAATGACTTGTACTAGGGTGCTTGCCCATACCAATAGCTCCCCCTAATTCCTATCATTCCTCCAACTCTGTAGTCTTTTTGGGCCAAAACCTGAAAGAGCCCAACCCAACAAAACTTTAAATTGATTTTGTAACTTGTGGCATAGTACTTAGTAAGTATTTTGCCAGTCTGGCAACATCCCATTACTGCCTTGACTGGCTTTCTTCTCTCTCATGCTGATCCTGTGTCACAGAGCCACATAGATGAGCAGCTACCCATCGTAGGATGCACACTCAACCTCCTGCTAGTTTCTGAGCCAAGTCAGCTTGACAGAGGGGTCTGCTAATGCACAGCCACCTAGCCACTGCTAACAGATGCTGGCTGGGACAGACGCTCATCAAAGGTGTGCCACACGACATGGGCATTCTCGTTCTGCATCAAGCCTCAAGGTGCCTCGCATCAAGCCTCAAGGTGCCTCAGCCAAATGACAGTGAGAAATAAGGGTTGGAGTAAAAGAAGAGGACTGATTAGAAAATCCATTTACCACAATTTTATCACTGTGGACCATCGCGAATGCGTAGTGTAATATTAACCTAGCAGCCCAGCACGCTCAAAAGATCTTGGAAACTGGACCCCAGATCAGTAGATGCAGACATGCACATGCAGACGAAACACCAGCGCCATGCATGGGGCCCAATCTCACCATAGAAATGCCAAAGCATTTCTGTGGTGCCATTTTGTGGATGGCAGCATGGCTCAAGCCATGCTGCCATCCACATGACGTGCGGCCAGGTATCCATTATCAGACTAGATATGTGATATCTGAGTTTTTTTTTATAACACAGCCATTTGCAATCTTCTGTGGCGATGGAACTTTCTTAGCATAAAAGACCGCCGTTGTGTACCGTGCCTGTGGCCAGCTTAGTCGTTTCCATTGTATGCTTTGTGGTTTTTTAGTTCTGAGCATGTTATCTTTCAACAGGCTCGTTGCTGTCGGCGGTTCTGAAGTCAGCGGTTCGATCCAGCTGAAGGACGTCACCTGGCAGGAAGTTGCAGAGTGTGGTGGCCAGTATCAAGCCACATTGTCCAGAAACCATCACATTATCTCCAGGTCAGTAATTGTGTGAACCGGGGGGGGGGGGGGCGCAGCTGCGCCTTGGTCACCACTGTGTCGAGTTGTGGACGCCCATGGGCCACTGTGTCGAGTTGTGATAGGAAAATCCTGCGAAATTCCTCCCACTTCCCCGTAGGTCTTTGCTGCTTTAACACAGGTGTCCAGTCCGTGTCGGTGAGCTGCCAGTTGAACTGGTCAGGATCGACCCGCTGTAAGCACCGGCGTTGAACCGTCGGGCCGGTCGCCGCACGCCACCAAACCGCAGCCCCACGCGGGTAATAATCGGGCTTGGACTTCTTGGATGAGATGTTTATGCACAGGCTAATGTACTGTAATTATGACTGAGTGTGCGACAGAAGACGTTGTGACTATGAGTCATACTCGCCGTGGCTGGTATTTGATGACCGTCGTGACCTGTGACGGTCGCCGTGACTGCTGTGTGACGATCACCGTGACTGTAATGTGACGGTCGCCGTGGCTGGTACGTGATGTTCTCAGTAACTGTTTATATAACGGCCGTCGCGACTGAAAGGTGACGACGTGACGTGACGTGACGCGACTCGCTCTGTTACAGGTCACTAGTCGCCGGTGCTCGAGCTGACGGCGTCGTTCAAGGGCTCCACGGTGACAAGCGCCGTCACCGTTGCCGCCGCCGCCGAGACCATCCGACTCCTGGGCCCTGTTTCACGGCAGCGTACTGCAGCGCGCTACGCAGCGCTGCTGTGCTAGTGCGGCGATTGAGACGAATTCGGCTCGACGCTCCAGCGTTGCGAAACACCCGTGTCTATGAAGGATACGCCGATACGTGCCCCAGCTTCAAGCCCTTCCCTCCCCCCCCCCCGTCCCGTCCCATCCCAACGGTGTTGGCCGAGATTGGGGTTTGGTATTTTAACGGGCTCTCCGATGACGTCCCGCAATTTGTGTTATGTAATTTGACGATTATGTCGTAGTCTCATTCTGTCTCGATATGCTAATAAATGATAAATGGGACGGAGGTTGGAAGTAAGGTGTGAGTGGCTGTAACCGGCAGGTTTTGGCGAGCGCGATATTAGTTATCGTGAGCGCGCCAGCTGCAATCAATCGCGCGCTTCTGGCGAGAAAATACTTGCTCTGGAACCTAGAAGTTTGTCGTGAAATCTATGTACCTTTGGATTGAATTATTAGGACATAATGTACTTTCGGTGTCCAGCACTGCAGCTCTGGAAACAGAAATATGGATGTTGGCTGTTTGATTTAGCAAGGGCTAACAATCCGCGTCAAGAATCAAAAGCTGTATGTGTTCGGACGCGCATTCACCGGCAAACACCTCGGCTCAGCTGATTAGTATATTTACAGTGATCGTACGGTACACGTTAATTCAGTTAACAACTCTGTGCTGATTCCCCGTGCCTTCCGGCCTCTTGTCCTCCGCCGCCTCAAGCCCCCGTGCTGAGCCACCCGCTCAGCCCCGAGCCCCTCTCGCCGAGCGCACCGCTCAGCGACTGCCCGCCGCAGTGATGCCATCCACATTTTTGCTCCATCCCAAGATCTCGACCAGAATTTCCCAAGATTCTCGTCTCAAATCCCAAGACTACCCATCGAATATCCTTAGGAGTACCCCAAGTAAATCCATAGCTTATTTTGGACATATTAGTGTGTTTAGTATTCAACTTTCTCTTCTTCGGGTCCACCCTTGTCCTTATTGGCGTATATACAGCAGCTAATGTACCTAGAGGCCGGGGGGAGGGGGAGGGGGTCGATCGGACTCCTACAGCTGATCGGTTCCTGACCGAGTATAAGAGCTTCACGAAAAATGAAGATGCTGGCCTAGACAACATGAAGCCGGTGGTATCTGATATTATGGTCAGGTCATTCGTCGACCGTCAATGGTGGGTCAAGGACTTAAAACACATAGTCCGAATCTGTTAGAACTTCTTGGAAACGAAGTCTGTGGCATTTTGGATTTATTTCAAAATTTGTCTCGTGACACATTTGGAGAAGCTAGGGTCAGGTGAGGTCAGGCTGATTTTAAGTGTTTTCCACCACTGAGTTTTGAAATATGGGCTCCAAAACAAGCTCTTAAAAGCTTATGTGAATCCTGAAATCGAAAAGCCTATGCTGTGAATCTGCGCGTAAGCCAGTGCCCGCTGGGGCCCATGAATTTTCAAGCCGGCGATGGCGAGGGGGTCTAAACGAGGACCTAACTCGTCCCCTGGACTATATAGTTACAAGACGTCAGCAGTGTTGTGAAGGTCGCAATATTACCCCAGTAAACATGACGACGTCGGCCCGACATCGGCTGGACGTCGGATATGCCCGCATGTTCCGACGTCCAGCCGAAGTCCAGCCGACGTCGAGCCGACGTCGGGCCGCGATCGTTTGCCGAGGTTGACGAGATCGTTCGTCGTTGGACCGACGGGGCCGACGTCGGCATGTTTATTGGGACAACGCGCCAAAAATATCAACCGGCGGCGGGATTCGAGCCCCCCAGTCGCCGACGTCGGCATGTTTATTGGGACAACACGCCAAAAGAATCAGCCGGCGATGGGATTCGAACCCCGTGTCATTCGAACGCGAGGTTAGTGCGCTAACCACTACACCACGCAGCCAACTAATAAATTTGGTTTGTTTTGTTGGGTTATGCCCTTTCGGTCTGACAAGACCATTTCAGAGCCAGAAGGATGAGAGGATGGAGACATCTGACATTGGTCTTCTTGGCGAGCACCCTGGGTCCAGTTCATATAGAGTCCCTGGTCCCATTGCTGTTACGTGACACTTATTGGAAAGGGCGACCCCACAATGGATTCATATAGCCCCTCTTAACACACCTGCACCAACGTTTCCCAAAGTGTCCCTTTGATAAGTGGCACTTTGGCAAAGTGACACTTGCCGACTGGCCTTTCTATATGAACTGGACCCGGCCCTGGTGAGTTGCCGGGGCTGAGCCTGACCAAAGGATAGGCCGAGCAGCCCCCAAGCACTCACCGCACCCGGCTACGGGCGAGCTCGGCTTACGGGCAATCCCAAATGGGATAAAGTTTCCCGTCCAGTCCGGATCAGGGGGTTGCGGCGTGGAGGAAGATTTGAGTCTCCTGAGGATATTTTGAATACAGAAGCTCTTAATGAAACATTAAACATGTATTTTATATTATTTTAACGGTCAAAAAAGCGGCCGATGTCGGTCCGACGTCGCCCCGACGTCGGCCCGACGTCGGCTGGACCTCAGCAATTGATCTCGGTCCGACGTCGGCCCAACGTCGGCTGGACCTCGGCTGGACGTCGGAACATGCGGGCATATCCGACATCCAGCCGACGTCGTGCCGAGGTTGGACCGACGTCGGGCCGACGTCGGCATGCCGATGCCGAGTTGCCGACGTCACCCCGACGTCGGCCGACGTCGGGCCGACGTCGGCATGTTTACTGGGTACGCTTTGATTATTTTTGGTCCAGCAGAGCCCAGAGGTCAGGTGACCAGACACTTTTCCGAGGTCAAAGACAAATTGCCCTTATTTTGGTTCGCGGTCAACGGATAAGCCTCCATAGAGCAAAACCGTAAAATGAAACGCTTTGTGCGGGAGCCGCTTTCTGAAATATTTTTTAGGCATAATGTTTGTAAAAGCTTTTCATAGCCACCCAACATCATGGACGCCGGTGAAACAGGGCGCCGGAGGGCATATTAGTCACGTGACATTTGTAGCTTCTCTCCCTTCGTGTGCCTTCTACAATCTACATGCTAAACGTCACGTGTAAATTTCACGAACCTTGATCAAATCACCCCAGGCGCCCTGTTTTCACCGTCGTCCATCATGCCGCCAAACCACCCATCCCCGTTGATAGGTAGTTGGAAATTAAACAAATGAGCGCCAGTTGCGAACAGAGACTGAAAGCTGCTACTATACCCATAACAAGTAATGGTACAAAAATAATCCTGCGATCTCGGGAAGATAATGCCGGCTAGAAACATCGCAAGCTTCGTCCGTTACTTCAATATGTTTGATTAACCGTCCGTAGTGCAAATCCATCCTAAATCTATTATCGACCAAGGAAAAAGCATTCGACAGCATGAGAAGACAAAGTGAAATCAGCTTCTGCCAGATCCCAAGATATGCAGTGCAAATCACAAGATCCCAATGTTAATGTTCAAATCCCAAGATCTTGGGACAAATCCCAAGGAATGGCATCGCTGGCCCGCCGCCGGCGATGCACCGCGTTATATAGGGGGGCTGGGCGCCCGCCGACCAATCAGCGGCCCCCCGCGCCACCGACGTCATCACCGCCGGCAGAGCTGCAGGTTTGGCGGCCGGCGCCCGCCGCCAGCCGCCGGCCGGCCGGGCGGCCGTGCGTCGCTCCCCAACACACACCCCCCCTACACACAGGAGAGGAGCACGGCCGCTCACTCACGCACATACACTATAGCGCTCACAATGCACGCGGTTCACGGACCCCGCCTGATACTGTACCGGGGGCGGTTGAGACGCCCGTACGTCGTTCGGTACGGCGCAGGCGGACCGAGGGCGGCAGGGGGCGGTTCGGGTCCCGCGCCGCGATCTGGGCGATGCTGCGCGCACCATTTAGCGGTCGGTGGTCTCACTCTGCCACCAGGTACGCGCTCGAGGGGACGTGTGACCAGTTCCGTCTGTGTCGGGACTCTTGGCGGCGGTGCGATCTTGTTCCGCCTCTGGCAGAGGGTACACGCCCTGCAGTGCTCCTTGATGTCTTTGTACATCCCGGGCCACACGAAGTTTTGCTTCACCCCTAGCGTGGTGTGGCGGTGTCCCATGTGCCCGCTCGTCGGCGGCTCGTGTGCAAGCTGCATCACGTGGGTGTGCAGGGAAGGCGGCACCGCTGCCCTGAACCCACTCGCCGTGGTAATGCCGACGAGGTCGTCCACCACCTGAACCTGGTGAGCTCCTGGTCCTAAGACCTTGCCCCACTCTCCCAGCATCAAGCTGTCGGGGGACGTCTGATGGCTGAAGCACCGTCGGGCGTAGTTGAGCGGTGGGCTCTCGTCTTGCGCCCTACGCATGTCGCCCCGCTCCACCGAGCTGGTGTCGCCTGCGTCGCCGTCGGCACCTGGACGGCTGCTGGCCTGTGCGCCTCTGCCCGCCACCAGTAGTGCTTCGCTGGCCGAGTCGACCTCACTGCTGGCCTGGACGGTCAGCCTGTCTGTTTGGCCTGCGTTGCCGCTGCTGGGCGACCCGCCCTCGCAGCGGCCCGCGCTCTCCGGCTCTGGTTCATTTGAGGTCACCATGACCTCGACGTAGCCGCTGCTGGGCTGCCCGCCCCCGCAGCGACTCGTCCCGGACCCGTGGGGCTCGACGGGGACCCCACATGGGGTCGCTTGGGTCGAACCGTGTCGTTGTCGGTTGAACCCTGCCGACTGGAAGACGGCGCGAGCAGTGCACATCACTAGAGCCACTGCCCGCTCGCAGGCCTGTGCGCAGCGCCTTGCCAGACCCGCGTTCTCGACCCCCGAACGTTCGCAGCGCCTGGACCCCTGCAGCCTCACCTCCGCGTGGCTCGGTAGGGGGAGTGTCAGGCTCCCGAGCCTGATCACCCCGTTCCCGTCGTCGATGACCGTCTTCTCGCGGCAGCAGAAGTCTCTTCCGAGCACAATGTCGTACAGCAGGCCCCCAACTATTTCCACCTCTGGACAGACGAATGCCTTCTGCTGTATCTCGAGCCCCAAATTGTGCACCACGCCTAGCATCTGTAGCTCGTTACCTCCGGCCCCCCTTGCGGGCCGCGTGCTTGGTGAGGACTGGAGGTGCAAACTTCCCCTGATCGTGTCCCAGAAATCCCCCCTTATCATGGAAAAGTCGGCCCCGGTATCCACCAGAGCCCAAGCCTGGTGACCTGCGACCCGCACCTCTACGGCTGACGCCGTCAACCCCGTACTGTGGGACTCTGATGGATTACGTACCGGCACTGGTCCCGTCGCACCGGTACTCACTCGTTTCCCTGTGGCTGACCCACCGCAGCTACGTGAGTGCCCCTATGCATGAGCGCGGGATCGGGAGGGC